CCTTCTCGTCATCCTCGTCCTTCACATTATCATTTTTTTGGCCGGGTGCTAAAGACATCGTTCGGCGAAAATGGCTCAAAATTGTGGTGCTAAGATATCCCGGGGGGGGGGGGGGTGTTCTTAATTGCTTCTTCGGGTCAACGCCTACTGGAATGTTCGTTGGGATCTCGTAAGTGGCCCCTCGGGGGCCTCTTGGAGGCAATTTGAGGCCTCCCGGGTGCAAATTTACGGGCCTCTTTTGGGCCCCATCGGGGGGCCTCTTGGCGGCCTCTGGGCGGCCTCCGAGGGTTTCGTCGGGTTATGTCCTTGGTGATCTCAGAGGAGGCGGATTATGTTGCAATCGATTGAATAGGTCAGAACCACATTTAGGGTTTCATCATGGGAAAAACGATTCAATGTATGTCAAAATCATATTTAGAAATATTGGCTCGGCGCTGCTTCGGTGAGCACAGTGGTAGCGCCATTCTGCAACGATCTCATCGCTTTCACATGGAAAATTTTGCGTGGGCATCGGGGGGGTCTTGGAGAGAACGGTTTCCCATCGTGGCGCCATTATATGCGATGCGATGCAACGCAATGCAATAGTGATTTGCTAAGCCATGGGATTATACACTCCGCGCTGTGCTATGCTACGCAATGCAATTTTATGATACGAGGGCTGCACGTGTGGTTCTATGCCATGCTATGTTGTGCAAAGCTGTGCTATGATACCGTCTGCTATGCTACGCGGGTTTTGCCTGCTTCTCCCCCTCCTCCTTCCGTGCGAGCGCCGTGCACGGGGAAGAGGCTTTGCGGAGGGAGGGAGTAGGAGGAGGACGAAGAGGAGGAGGAGGACGAGGTGGGGAGGAGGACGAGAATGAGGAGGAGGACGGGGAAGGGGAAATGCGCCGCCGCCGCCGCGGGGGGGCGCCGCCGCCGACGCGGCGGGGGGGGCGCCCCTTGTCACGGGGACGTTTTCACTGCGCAGGCGGCGCGCGCGCGAGCGCTGTGCGGAATGATGGTGAAGAGAAAAAGGAGGAGGAGGAGGAGGAGGAGGAGGAGGAGGAGAGGAGGAGGAGAGGAGGAGGAGGAGAGAGGAGGAGGAGGGGGAGGAGGAAGGGGAGGAGGAGGAGGAGGAGGAGGAGGAGGAGGAGGAGGAGGAGGAAGAGGATGAGGAGGAGGAGGGGGAGGAGGACGGGGAGACTTCCGAGGCCTCCTGGGGGGGCGTCTTGGAGGTGATTGAGCCTCTTGGTGGCCTTTTGTTTTGGGTTTCTTGGGGGGCATACAGGAGGCATCCTGGAGGCCTCCTAAGGGTGTGTAGGAGGTAATCTTTAAGCCTTCGGGAACGTTTTTGGGCGCCTTTTGGGGGCCTCTCAAGGGCCACTTGGAGCATTTCGGGGTTTCCTGGGGACTCCCACAGCCATTTTGGTGCCTCCTGGATGCCTCTTGGGCAGTTTTGGAGCGTTCTGGGGCCGTCATGGAGCCGACTTGGGTGTCTTGGGCCCGTCCTGGGGCCCGCTTGGGCTGTCTTGGGGGCCTCACGGGCTGTCTTGGGCCTTCCTTGGGCCGACTTGGGGCCCTCTTGAGAGCCTCTGGGACTGTTTTGGGGGTCTCTTGGGCAGTGTTGGACATTGCGAAGGTCGAAGAAGCGAAAATGCAAAACAAAATACGTTTTCCTGAGGCGATGGGGCAGATTTTCCGTCTGTGGGCACTCTTCGGGGGTGTCGGGAGAGTACGTTGGAGGCTTCTGGAGCCGTCTGAGGAACATATTGAGCGTCTTGGAGCAATGTTTCGGCCACTCAGGGCCGTCTGGGGCAGTCTGGGCGGCCGTGTTTTTTTTTTTGAGCCCGTGTTCGAGCCCTCCGGGGCGAGGGGCCGACCCGGAGTGAGGTGGAACTCCGATGTTGCCACCAAAAGTGAGTCGGACCCCCCCCCCCGTACCCTGGCAGAGCCACCACGGCACCCACCCACCCAGCAGAGCTGTAGCTCAAGAGCTGAGGCTCCGGCTACATCTGAGGGTCTTTGAAGTTCACACGCCGGACCTGCGGATTTTAGCATGAGCGCGCGGACAGGAAATTTGCAAGCATTTCATTGCAACACCCTGTGTGTATTATGTTTTAAGCTGAAATGCTTGCAAACACATTGTGTGTTGGTACGATTTTGACATGGACGCGCGCGTGATGATTCTTTTTGCAAGGGATTCCTGATTATTTATGATTTCTGATAAACGAGAGCGCGCATAGTATTTGTTGCAGAGGATGGCGGTGGGTAGTGATACCGGTTTGGTTGGGATAATATGAATTCATATTTAGGACGCACGATTTGGCAAAATAGAATATAAATTGCAATCCGAAAAAGGTGGGCCCTCAACTCTAGGGCGGGGGGGGTAGAGTCTATTCTTCTCTTAGAAACGAGGATCTAAGTAAATGCCAGTGCAGTAATCTACGTGGTGCAAGTTAGTTGCGATCTACGTGGTGCAATCTAGGCGGTGTAAGCTATGTCAGTGCAGTCCATCTGGTGATACCAGTATGGTGTAAGCTATGTAGTCCCATATGCGTGGGCAACATTATGTGGTGCAGTCTATCTGGTGGAACAAATGTTGTGGAAGCTACGTGGTGCAATCTCACTGGAGCCTTGTATGTGGTGTAAGCTATGTTGTGCAATGTACGTGTTGCACTCTAGTGGTGTAATCTATGTGCACGAATCTACGCAGTCCAAGCTTTGGGGCTCTCGTGGGTCTCGCGGTGGTCCTCGTGAAGGCTCCCCCGGGACTTTGGATGGTAGGGGCTGCCGTGGCAATTCTCGGAGTGTTTCTTGCACGGTTGCGGGTTTCGTGTCGGCCTGTTGTTCGGGCTCGTTTGGCCATCGAACCTACCGATGCCGACGCAAAACGCGCGCAATGGTGATGTGGTAGGAGCGGCGGGGATGGCCCTTTCAAAATGACCTGAAAACAACGTTGTTTTCTACGCAACAATCACTGCGCACTTTACCGAAATGCTGTCGCGCAGCCGCGTCGGTAACGATCGGGGGTTCAATTCGGCCATGCGTAATGCAACTCCGTTCGCGTGCGCTATGCACTGCAATATTTGTAATTTCGCACGCGCTTGTAGTACAATTCTGGAACGTAACCTAATGAGTGTCGTTTTAACATGGCTACTTTTGGCATGGTTTTGGGCTCGCTATGCTGGCCATAGTGAGACGCGCTCTGGGGATGGTTTGGGGGCACACACCAGAACATAATATTAGGGCCTCTTAGGGCCTGTTGGGCGCCTCTTGGGGCCTCCTGGGGGCCTGCTGGGGCGGAAGGTTCGGAGTCTCTGTGCGTGTTTCTTCTCTTGGGCCCTTTTTGGGGCCGTCTTGAGACCCTTTGGGGCCGTCTTGGGCGCCTCTTGGGCGGTGTTGTGCCGACTTGGGGCCCTCTTGCAGGCTTCTTGGGCCATCTTGGGGTAGTCTTGGGGGCCTCTTTGGCCGTCTTGGAACGTCGGAAGGCCGAACAGGCGAGAACGAACAAATCCTTCAAACATTTTTGGGAAATCGTTGTTTTTGTTGGCTTCTGGGCCCTTTGGGGGGCCTTTTGGGGGCCTCTTGAGGCGTCTTGGAGGCCTTTCGGGCCATCTTGAGGCCATCTTGGGCGTCTTGGTGCGATCTTGGGGTGATTTAAGGCCCTCTTTGACTTTTGTTTGGGGCCTCTTGGGGCCATCTAGGCGCGTTTGGGGACCCTCCTGGGCTGGGTAGGCCGACGCGAGCGATGTCGGCGGATTCTGGAGAGCCCCGGAAACGATTGGTCCGGGCCGCGGAAGATTTACAATTCAGGCTGCAGCAGCATGGCCCTCCCAGTGCTGCAGGAGCCTTGGGGCACTCCACTTCGTGCCAGAGGCACGGTTGCGGATTTGTTTGTCAGAACGAACTGGGCTTGCGTGGCGGTCTGGCGGTTCCGTCGTCGCCGTCGCCGCCCCGTCGCCGCCTCGTCGCCGCCTGTCATCTGGGCCTGCGTGGCGTGGCGGTCTGGCAGCTCCGTGGTCGCCGTCGCCGCCTCGTCGCTGCTGGTAGTCTGGGCCTTCGCGGCGGTCTGGGGGTTCCGTGACCGCCGTCGCCGCTCCATCGCCGTTTCGTCGCCGTCCAACGTTTGGGCCTGTGTGGCGGTCTGGCGGCTCCGTCGCCGCCCCGTCGCCGCCTCGTCGCCGCCCGTCGTCCGGGCCTGCGTGGCTGTCTGGGGGCTCTGTGGTCTGTACAGCATCTATTGCACCACATAGAGTGCACAACACAGATTGCACCATATAGGTTGCATAACATATATTGCACCAACTTTAACGACACAACATAAAGTTCACCACATAGATCGCACCACATAGCCTGGACCACATAGATTGCACCACTCATATTGCGCAACATATCTGATTAGACACACACACGCTGTTTTGTGTCCACGCTGGTTAACCTTGGCTCCTCCAGCAAACATGTATGCAGGCGCTTGGATTCGCGAACTCGGCAACTTGGCCGCCAAGCCAGGCGGCACTCGCCTCGGGTTCCCGGCGCACATACACCAGAGCAACAATCTATAGCCCACCTCAGCGCGCGCCCGAGTCCTCGATCCCTGCCCTGGCTCCCCGCGTGCTCTCAGCCTTGCTTCGAGGCCCCACTGGGACCCTGAAGCAGAAGCTCTGGCCGAGGCCTGTTCCGTTTGCTTGGCGGCTGCCCCTCGCAGCGGGAGCTCCCTACAGGAATCCCTGCACAGGTTTTGCTGGATGCCTACGATCAAGATCTCCGGCCGCTGGCCGAGTCTCTTGCAGGAAGTCTGAGCTCGAGATCATTCGATTTGCAATTCTTGTCGGATAGAAAGACACAGAAGAAACAGGTCATCAAATACGTATCTATATTTCCAATGTTTTTTGCTTTCCCGAGCGGCCAGAGACGAATGGCCGAGTCCCAGTAGCCGAGTGACGCTAGAAACTCCAGCCTCCGAGTCCCCAGAGCGCATCCATAGCCAATCTTATCATGACACTGTTCTTATACTAAAAGAGGTCAGCATCCCCAACGTGGGGAGGTTCAGGATCGACATCGACAGGATGGTGCAGGTGTCCCTCACGGGCCGCAATCCGGGCTACGAGCGGCCCGTTCGCCGACAGGCGAGCGGGGAGGGGAGCCGGTGCAAGGTGGGGAGGGAAGAACAGGGAGGAGAGGGAGGAGAGAAAGAGAGCAGCGGTGGACTCGCACATGCCTGGGATCGAAGGGGAGCAACCGCAGAAATATTATTTCTCCGAGCTCCGCGCTAATTCTTGGGGATCGGCGCTGCCCCCCCTCCCTCCGCGCGCCAGGGCGGGGGGGTCCAGCTCCGATCCAGGAGATCGGCGCGGACCTCAGGGAAATGATGTTTATGTATGCAGTTTGTTGTTCCTCCAGGCAGAGGGGGGTGGACTCGAGTATGCCGGAAGTAGTAGAGATCCCCGCAGACCGTTACGGGGCGCTATTCACAGGTGTGCAGAGCGTTCCAAAATCTAGAACGGCCGCGACGGCCGATAATCCGACAGATCCAGCGGCTCTCAAAGTTTGCCGATGTATGTTATCCCGATTGCGTATCTTTCCTTGCGTCGTCTTAGAAAGGAGGAGGAAAAGGAGGGAGGGCACTGGGCACGAGGGATGAAGGGGTGAACGGGAGGGGAGGGATGCGAGCAAGAATGGGTGGGCATGATAAAATAAAACATGCAGAACAAAAGTGCGAGGACGGGAGGAGGGAACGAGTAGAGGAGCTGGGCTCATATTCCTTCGCGTCGAGGAACAAAACGCGACAGGCATTTTTTCCCAAACGGCCCTTGCAGTTAGGGTTTCTCACTAGCTGTCTCAGGAACTGGGTCTGGGCATCGGTCCGGCGGCTTTGTGCTCGCCGTCGCCGCCTCCTGGCCGCCCGTTGTTTGGGCCTGGGTGTCAGTTTGGCGGCTCCGTTGTCGCCGTCGCCGCCCTGTCGCCGCCTCGTCGCTGACCGTCGTTTGGGCCTGGGTGGCGGTCTGGCGGCTCCGTTGTCGCCGTCACTGGCCCGTCGCAGCCGCGTCGCCGCCCCGTCGTCTGTGCCTGGGTGTCGGTCTGGCGGCTCCGTTCTCGCCGTCGCCACCCTGTCGCCGCCCTGGTTCTCCATTCCAACAAAAGTATGTCTACCACCCTCCTCCCCTGGACTTATCGGTTCCCCCGGAACCTCTTGCAAAACACATATGATTATGATCCACTGTCCATCCCACCTTTGAATTCGTATTATCCCAGCCAGGCCGGTATCGGTCCCCCCTCGGTTCCCTTGCAAAATATATTATGCGCGCGCACACGTTTATCAAACATCATAAGTTTGCCAAGAATTTGTTGCAAACAATTTGACGAAGTGCACACGCGCGCGTCTTCGCGCGCGCATGCCCACAATCTTTCAACAACCGGGGTTTCGGAAGGACTTCAAAATCGAGTGTCCAAAACACATGGAAAACGCATGGTTTCGCAACACGGATCTTCAACAAAAGCGCGCGCGCGCGTTCTTACGATCTTTTAAGGAAACCGTGAGGTTTTCAACATGTTGCTAAGATGCTACCAAGCGGGTCTCGCGCGCGCGTGTTGAAATCGTTCGGACGCCCTTGCGCGCGTGCTGTTGTGGCACGACCCGTGTCAAATACCACCATGCGAGCCACTCCCGCGCGTCTGCCGCGCGCGCATGTCGAATTCCTTCCAAAATCTTCATCATCGACGCGAAGACGCCGTCATCGTCGTCGGCGTGATCAGCATCGGCGCAGTCACTGGCTGCCCCGTCGTCGCTGTCAGCATCGTCGCCAGCATCGCTACTATCATCATCAAATCTACCGTTGTCGACGTTGCCATGCTACCGCGCCCGCCCAAGTCACCGACTCGCATTGGAGTGCCCACTGGCATGTGCCGAGCGGTCAGCGCCACCTCGCTCGCGTCCACCGCGCCCAACTAGCTGGCCACCCTAGCTGGCCGCTGCGCGCGCTAGCATGCGCGGGCTAGCGCGGCCGCAGATATGCAACAGCCAACACCCACCACACGTCGCAATCGCTCCCGCATAGGTTTGGCAAACCGAGTTGCGGGCGGGTGGGTGGGATGATTTCGCGAGCAGTGGAGTTGACAGTTTCAAGTTCGGCAAGTGAATTCTGTTTTCTAGAGACAAAAGAGGTTCTACCACCCTTCCCCCTCCGGGGTTAAAGACCCCCGGGGGCCGATGCAAAACACAGGATGCTGACCCTATGTCCATCCTACCTGTGGATTCATACTACCCCCGCCAGGCCGGTATCGCCTGCACCCCCGCCATTCCTTGCCAAAAAACGGTATGCGCGCGCATTCGTTTATCAAAAACCATAAGTGTTCAATAATCCCTTGCGCAAGAAAAAAAACGGGACGAAGTGCGCACGCGCGCGTCGTCGCGCGCGCATCCCGAAATCTGTCAAAAACCGTATGTTTCGGAAGGATCTCAAAATCGAGCTGCCGAAAAACATTTGTTTTTTTTTAAAAAAAAAATATATATTTGGGCAACACAGGTTTTAGAAACAGAACCTTGCGCGCGCTTTGAGCGAAACCTTAAGAAAACCATTGGTTTTCAAGATCTTCCAAACAATACGACCAAACGGGCTTCGCACGCGCGCGTGTCGAAATCGTTCGAACGCCCTTGCGCGCGTGCCGTCGCGAGAATCTCCTGCAACACATGGGCGAAATGCACGCGCGCGCGCGTTGTCGCACGCGCGTGCCGGAATCCTTGAAATACCCCAGGTTTCGGACGGATTTCAAAGCCGAATGTCGAAACAATATACGGACGCACAGGGTTTCGCAACACGCATTTTCAACACAAACGTGCGCAAGCGTTCTTGCGTCGTCGTCGTTGTCGTCGCCGTCCCTCCTCCCTCGTCGTCGTCGTCGTCGTCGCCGTCGTCGTCCTCTGTCTTTCTTCGTCGCCGTCGTCGTCCTCCTCTTTGGCGTCGTCGTCGTTTCCGTCGTTGTCGCCGTGGTCGTCCTTCCTCCCTCGTCGTCGTCCGTCGTCGGCGTCTCGTCGTCGTCCCTCCTATTTCGTCGTCGTCGTCGTCGTGTTCCCTCCTCCCTCGTCGTTGTCGTCGTCGACGTCGCCGTCCTCCCTCCTTCTCTCGTCGTTCGCGTCTCCTGCCTCGTCGTTGTCGTCGTTGTTGCCGTCGTCGTCCTCCCTCCTCCCTCGTCGTCGTCGTCCTCGTTGGCGACGTCGTCGTCTTCGTCGTCGTCGGCGGTGGCGTCGTCGTCGTCGTCGTCAGCGTCGTCGTCGTTGTCGTCGTCGGCGCCGTCGTCGTCGGCGTTGTCATCGTCGTCGTCGGCGTCGGCGTCGTCGTCGTCGTGGTCGGTGTCGTCGTCGTCGTCGTCGTCGTCGCCGAAGTCGTTGGAGATGCCGTCGGTGTCGTCGTAGTCGATGTCGGCGGCGTCGTCGTCGTCGTCGTTGTCGCTGCCGTAGTCAGCGGCGGTTTCGTTGCCAAGTGCCATTTGGTACCTACCATCGCGGTCTTAAGAGGTCTTGCGACCGAGTTGCGGGCGGGAGGGTGGGACGTTTGCACGAGCAGTGGCGAGGACAGCTTCAAGTTGAGCAAATGATTAATTCTTCGTTCTTAAAAGAGAATAGGTTCTACCACCCTCCCCCCCCGGGGCTATCCATTCACCGGGAACCGATGTGAAAAACATAGGATTCTGACCCATCGTTCAACCCCCCCCCGCCATCCTCTGCAAAAAATAATATGCGCGCACACCCGGTTATCAAAAATTAGGAGTTTGCAAGAATCCCTTGCAAACAACGGGACGAAGTGCACACGCGTGCGTCGTCGCGCGGTCCTGGAAGGATTTCGAAGTCAAGTTCCCAAAAAACATACGAGCACACATGGTGTCGCAGCAGTGATTTCCTAAACAAGCTTACGCGCGCGCTCTTGCGATTTCTTAAGAAAACCATGAGTTGTTCAAGAGCTTCTAAAACATTACCTAACGGGCTTCGCGCGCGCGCATGTCGAAGTCGATCGAACGCCCTTGCGCCCATGGCGTCGCGAGAAGCCTCTGCAACAAATGAGACGAAGTGTGCGCGCGCGTCGTCGCGCGCGCATGCTGGAATCCTTCAAAAACGTTCGGTTTCGCATGGATTTCCAAATCGAGTGTCCAAAACAACATACAAAAGCACAGGGTTTCGCAACACGGATTTCAACAAAAGTGTGCGCGCGCGTTCTTGCGTCGTCGCCGTTCTCCCTCCTCCCTCGTCGTCGTCGTCGCCGTCGCCGTCGTCCTCTCTCTTTCCTCGTCGTCGTCCTTTTTGGCGTCGTCGTCGTTTCCGTCGTCGTTTTGGCCGTGATCGTCCTTTGTCCTCCCTCGTCGTCGTCGTCGTCCGTCGTCGGCGTCTCGTCGTCGTCCCTCCTATTCCGTCGCCGTCGTCGTCGTCGTCGTCGTCATGTTCCCTCCTCCCTCGTCGTTGTCGTCGTCGGCGTCACCGTCCTCCCTCCTTTTTCGTCGTTCGCGTCGTCGCCGTCCTCCCTCCTCTCTCGTCGTCGTCGTATTCGTCGCCGTCGTCATCTTCCCTCGTCGTCGCGGCGTTGTCATCGTCGTCGGCGTCGGCGTCGTCGTCGTCACCGTCGTCCTCGTCGTCGTCGTTGTCGTCGTCGTCGAAGTCGTCGGAGACGCCGTCGGTGTTGTCGTAGTCGTCGTCGGCGTCGTCGTCGGCGTCGGCATCGCTGTCGTTGCCAAGTGCCATGTGGTAACCACCGCCACGGTCTTAAGATGTCTTGTGGCCAAGTTGTTGGTGAGAGGTTGGGATGTTTGCACGAGCAGTGGAGAGGACCGTTTCAGGACAGTCAAAGTGAAGTTCAGAACATAGGCTCCCCTTTCTAAGGAGGGATCGGTTTTACCACCCTCCCCCCTCCCCGGGGATTAAAGACCCCCCAGGAACCGATTCAAAACATATAGGGTTCTGACCCAATGCCCATCCTACTTGTGAATCCATACTATCCCAGCCAGGCCAGTATCGGTCCCGCCGCCATTCACTGCAACAACTAATATGCGCGCACATTCGTTTATCAAAAATCATGGGACGAAGTGCGCACGCGCGCGTCGTCGCGCGCGCATCCCGAAATCCTTCCACAACCGTCGGTTT